TGAAATAACTGTCATTTCTAAGTCTTCAAAAAACTCATTACTGGCACTTTAAGACTACTCTGTGCCTTTTAGAAAATGTAGGAAAATGGGTATAGTTGTCCCCATCTATCCACGGGAGAAATGTTCCAAGATCCCCAATGGATGGCTGAAACCATGGATAGCACCAAACCCTACGTACATTACATTCTTCCTGTACCTACACATCTATGATAAAGCTTAATTTATAAATCAGGCACAGTAAGAGATTAACGACAATAACTAGGAATAAAATAGAACAATTATAACAATATACTGTAATGAAAGTGCTGTGAATGTGGTCTTGCTCCCTCAAAATACCTCATTGTGCCACATTCACCTTTTCACTTACCAGAAGCACTTTATGCTCCTCTTTGGCATCCATAAATTGCCAGCATCGCTACTCCTGCACTTTGGGGCCATCATTAAGTAAAATAAATGTCACTTGAACACAAGCACTGCGAAACCGCGACAGTCGATCTCATAACTGAGATGGCTACTAAGTGACTAAGGGGTGCAGAGCCTCTAGGAGACGCTGGACAAAGGGATGAGTCTTGTCCTCAACCGGATGGAGAGGATGGTGTGAGATTTCATCACCTTCTTCAGGATGGGACATAATTTAAAACGTATGAATTGTTGATTTCTGGAATTTTCAATTTAATATTTTCAGAGCACGGTTGATTGCAGGTAACTGAAACCGTAGAAGGTGAAACCATGGGTGAGAGGGGACAACTGAAGTCTGTGTCACAGTGGATCCTTGACCGCCTTCTCAAACCTTCTATCATTAACATCAGCCATCAGCCTCCCAAACATATTTAATGTCTCGATTTCAGTATCTCTAAAGAAGATATTTCAACAGATGGTGAAAAAGGAAATAGGACAAAAATCAAAGGAGATGATTCTGAAAGGAAATGTAGAGAAACAACCCCAAAGCATGGTAACTTCATATGTATAAAAAAAGTGCCAGTCAGCTGGCTGGTGGATGGAATAGAATAAAATCTTGCATCTCTGTGGATTGATTTTCCTCAAGGAAGCAGAAAAGAAAAATGGCTCCTCCCAGAGACCCAGGCTCTGTGCTGGGTTCTAGAAACCTGATCCCACTCAGTCAAACAGGAGGAGCCAACCCTCAGGCTGACTGCTCAGAGGGAAAAATCATGAATTGAAAATACAAAGAAAGCATAGATTTGAAAGGGCCGAAGAGGAAGGCAAAAACCACTTCTAAATAAGGGTGCTAGAAATGGCTTCCATTTATTGTTACTTCACTGTGGAGACAGATGCCAGAGAGACTCGTGGCGGGCACAAGAGCTGAGGAGATGGACTTTCTGTGGCAGGAGCAGGAGGAGCTCAGGCGACAACTGCTATTCTAATGCCATCTACAATCTAAATACTGCACGTGTTGCCTGCGTGAAGCCACTGAATGGACACCCAATGCTATTTTAATCAAACGTGAGCATCCAGACAAGGATTGAAAGGGCAGCTAAACAAATCTCTCCACACTTACAAAATGGGCACTTAGTAGCAGTGACTGCAGTGGGGGGAGGTGCGGTTTTGCTCGACCCCCCTCCCCCCAACCCCAGTGGAGCACACCCTTCTCTCCAAACCTCTGCTGCACTTCCCAGGGGGGCCAGAGACCAGGAACTGGGCCTGAAGTTCCCACCTCTGTGGCCTGGGGGGAAGGAGAGGGAGGGTGACAGCCTAAAGCTGGTGGTGAGCTGGAAACTGTGTGGACAGAATCACAAAAGGCAGCATTTTTCACATTAGCTTTTACCGAAGGGTGGGGCCTGTCAGTCAATTACATGGCCCAAAGGCAGCAAGTCTTTATATTACATCCTAGTGTCTCCTGAGCAGGGAGAAAAGAAAAGTATCTTAACGACAATGAAACTGCAGTGTCGGCCCTGAGAGTTGTAAAGGGCCAGTGACATGATTATCCATCGTTTAGCTTTCCTATTTTAATTTCAAAAACAAATTCTTCTCTTTGGATTTAACATAAGCCATAACGCAGCGATGAGAAGAACGGTATATTTGATTTATAGAACGCATATACCTAAAAATAAATGAAAAGCAGTGTCTTTGGTGCTGAGGATGGACATTATTTTCCCTGGGCCTTCCTGTCATTTTAAACGGCATGCACACTGATGAAAAGCTCTCCACAATTTCTACCCACCTATGTACATCCACGGATGTGAAAAGACACAACGCATTGTGACCTCATAAAGCACTGATGTATCGCTGATGAAATTTGAGATGCGGAGGGTTTACAGAAAAGTGCAGAGCACAAAAAAAACCATTCGCTGCAAAAAGTGGTCGAGAGGGTTTTAAAATCACGCCTTTCCTTCTGCTCCATTATTAAGAACCCGAGAACTCAAATATCTGGAGTCGGGGGAACATAAACTAGTAAACGTATTTCAAAAATAAACTATAAACTATCCCACTGTTTGCCTTTTGCTTACCAAATAGGATTTCACATTATCAAACGCCCTTCCTCTGAGGCCATGAAATGATTTTATAGAATCGAAAAGGCAACGGCAATCAAGCAGGGAGAAAGGACGTGTCGCTATTATCACTGTCAGGTGATAAAACAGGTTCCACACATGGAGCTTGATGCTATCAGTTTGTGATGATGTTAGCAAAAAAAAAGAAAAATAACAAGGATAAGCTAGCTACGTGTTCATTATTACATTAACTTTAGTTAGTTTCAGATAGTTTATGTGGTATCATTAATCTGAAATCTCCTTCCTATAGTTAGTTTTAAATTCCTTTAGGATGTAGGAAAAGTACTATTTCTCTAGACCAGGGAGCGGGGAGCCAAATACAGCCCACAGGACAAATCCCACCCACCACCTGTTTTCTGTAAAGAAGAACGTATCAGAACCCAGCCCTGTCTATCTGTCTTATATACATATATATATTGTCTATGGCTGCTTTCACTATAATGGAGGAGATTTAGAGGTTGCAGCAGACACTGTATGGCCCACAAAGCCTAAATTATTTATCTGGCCCTTTACTGAGTGATGCATTAGACGTTTAATTATTTACCCTTGCTGTCTCTATGACACAATAAATACCAGATGTGTAAAACTGCCACATCTAGTAGGTTATTTTCCTGAATGTAAAAGAATGGGGTTTACATTAAGTCTCAGTAGATTGTCTCTACAAATATGGCTGCCAAAGAACCCTTCCTCACTGTGCTGCATTTTGCTCTCTCCACCGAGACACGGAGTTTGTTTTCTCTCCCCTTGAATCTGGGGTAACCCTGTGACTTGCTTTGACAGCGGAATGTGGCAGAAGACGCCTGGCAGCTCTACTTTGCTCTTGGCGCCTTGAGTCACCATGTGGGGAGTCTATCACCCCCAGTCCTCAGACGTAGCAGGCACCGCAGCCGTGGTACCAGTCTTGAGTGAAACTATCTTGCACATCCCTGCCCAGCTGAGCGCCCAGTTGAATGCAGCCCCGGAAATGGCCCCAGCCAACGCCACTGAAGCGAACCGCCTAGTCAACTTCAGGTTTTGATGTTCCAATTAGTATTTCAAAACTTCAAGATATTTAAAAATAGTTCTAAAACAAGCCAACTCCATCATCTTCTTTTATATCTTAAAAGCAAGAAACATCATTCTCTTCAGATGGCGGTATGAGCAGGTTGGATGAAAAACGCGTCTCCTAAACTACAGGTAAGACGCAGAAAAACATCTAAGACAGTGAAATCATCTGGCAACAGCAGTAAGACACAAAGTATAAACTAAACTCTGAAAAGATTTATTTTTTTAATCCACCTTCTCAGTATCAGGGGTTTCAGAATCTCATCTTCGAAGAAACATTTTTTTCCCACTCTATTTGTCTTATGCAGAAAACAGGTCAGGAGAAAGACTTTACAGAAACCAAAAAGATAGTTGTTGAATTTAAGTCTGCTGAGGAGACGCAACTTGTCATTGACTAGTGATCAAAGGATCAAAGCTGATAACTACTCCCAGAAAAAAAAAAAAGGGAAAACGGTTAAAGAAAGGAAGGCCAAGAAAGAAAATATTGGTCTGGACATGAGAATAAAAGTCCCCTTGAAGTCACAGAAACTTGGAGCAGAAGATTAAATTTCCCATGGAGAGTGGAAAGCGGGGCTCAGGCAAATTTAATTTAAATCTCAAAAAACAGAGTGACTTGGAGTAACCATTGAAATATAGGTGCCTCAAAGAGGAGACTAGAAGAAAAAACTCCAAAATGATTATAGCAACTATCTGTGGCGGTGGACGGTGGATGATATTTTTCCCTTCTTTTTAATTGTTTTGTGTGTCTGTAGCTTTTAGTTTTTAACTTGGTTTTATTTGGGGGGCTGAAATGTTAGTTTAGAATCATGTGATTTTAAAAGAAATGGGGATTGTTGGGTTTAATAATATTAATACGACTAATTAATAATTACCTTAACATTTTTAGAAAATGATTTGTAAGTCTAAGTAGCATGAAGAAAATAAAGCATAAAAATGAATATATTAGAAAACAGAAAAAGATAGCATTAATTAATCCAAGAGCAAGTTTCTCTAAACGAAACATAAAAGTGATCACCTTTGATAAATATAATCGACAAAAAAGAAAATGCCTTCTAAATAAATTATGACTGTTAAAAGGGACCTAACGACAGCTACCGAAAAATAACTCTGAAAATATGAAAACTAGGAAGGCACGATCGTAGTATATTTGAAAAGCCAGATCAGGTCTCGCCAACTTTACCTGGAAAGGACAGATAAGACATTTTTTAGCCCTGTTGGGCCATACGGCCTCTGTCGCAACCAATCTCCACTGAATCCCAGAGTTTCAAACGGAAAACTCCGTAAAAGACAATGCTGAGTTAATTAACAACGACTGAATGGGAGAGGGCTGTCTAGAAGCATTTTCACACACAACCAGTGAGAGCGTAAATCACAATAATTCGGCGGGAAAACAAGTTGGAAAATGTATCAACAACTCTAAAAATGTTTATAGTACATGTGGATGGATACCTGTGGGGGAAGGAGCGCCGCTGCCCGTTCGCTGCTGGGCCCAGGGCTTTAGACGAGGGGCCTTCGGAGCTAAGGCTCCGGCTTCTGAGGCAGAGGCGCCTCCCAGGAGGCCGATTCTAGAAGTGGTGAAGCCGGCGGAGGCCGAAAGCAGTTGCTGCCGCCAGGTCCAGGTGCCATTGCATCCAGGACAGGAAAAGCAAACCAGTCAGGATGAAGCCCCTTCCCGCTTCCTCTGGCTTCCCTCGCCAGCGCCCTCTGCTGGCAAAAGCTGGAAGCAAGCCGCCGTAGGGAAAACGCGGTGTGCAGAGTCCCAATGTTCAGAAAAACAGCAGAGCAGAGAGCGGTGGATTTGGAGCTGCCAGATAATCCCCGAAAAACTGGCAACGCCTTGAAACTTCTTTATAAAATTTCCCTCAAGTGTACAAAATATGCTGGATATCTCCAAAACCAGAGCCTTCATTCCAAAAACCTTAAAGGATAGAACTGAAAAACTAGCCTCAGATATTCCTTTTAGAGTGATTCTGGGAGCAAGCACTTTACTTCATTGATATTATTCTACTACTCATTATAATCATGATTTTGTGATTGATTGGGCTTGGAAATTTTGAGGACAAGATGTACTTTTCCAATAGTTTTATTTCTCCTCAATTTTCTTTTCAAAATGCATGATAGAGTATTATTATTACCTTTGCAAACCAGCAATTCGTATCACCGGTTAGAAGAATTTTAAACTAAAAGCAGCTGCATTACAGCGCATCTGTAATGTAACCTGACATAAATCGGAAAACCTCAGGCAGCTCTCAAATATGGTTACACGTGGAAAACAATTGGGTGATGATGATGTCATCATAGTGTGATCAGCTGGTCTGGACTGAACCCGAAGGACAAAGGGTGCACACAATTTCTTGGGAACATTTACGATGGGGACCGGCTTGTTGTGTACTAGTTCACTTTAGACAGGGGATGTGTAAAATCTAAGGACATTCGGCTACTTACTGGTTAAGCAACGAGGGTGATTTTCTCCCGTTTACAGGGAGAATGTTGTTTGACCTAACCTTGATTACACCATGGGGTATGTTTAACATGTCTTCGCACGGTAAAACGCAGGTTTTTAAACTTGACCTCTCAGTTGAGAAAAACCCAAAGGACTGGTTTGCTTTATTGAATAATGAACCTGAGACCCCTCAGAAATGATCTAACGCGGGACATTTGCCCCATTCAACACAAAATTTGAAATATTCCTTGGATGACCAATCGACATCTTTCCATGATGTCATTAATTGTTCCCCTGGAAACCAATTAGTGAGCTATTAGGAGCAGACCATCACCTCCTACCCTGCTTCTTACTACTGTAAATTTATTTTATTTCTAATTTCTATGACACCACCAAATAACAATTCCCAACGCCACATAAAAACACTGGGAGGGAGGGGCGATGTGAGATGAGGTAATGTGGAGAATGTTTCAAAATGCTTTCAAGTTTTAATCCAAGTTTTCTTTTCTTTTAGCTCCCTGTGTTATAAATCTGTCCCACAAGCCGACCGCCCTGAAACCTGCCACCCAGGAACTTTTATAAAGCCGGGTCCCTGTCTAATGGGGTGACTTTAGACTCTAGAGAATGTGAAAAAGCATGTGTCTGAACATCCAGCAATTCTGGTTGTATGACATAGATAAAGACTGGTATTTGGATATAAGGAACTGTATCCTTGTATCCAAGCGCTGTTTTGCAGTGCTATTAATGGGGGAACTTGGAAGCAATCAATATCCAACAATGCTACCAGAATTAATAGAGGGTATTATATCCATGTGATAGGTTCTTATACAACAGTTAAAAGCATTAAACTAAATGTGTATACGTAAAAACACAAACTGATGTCGTTATGTATATGTACATATTATAGGTATATGTACACGTGTTTCTGTATATGTGTAACCATGATTCTATATGACAAAAACATGAAGAGTATGAGAGCAATGACTTCCATGTGTACACTATGAACCCACACTACACACTCAGGGTTGTGTTGTCACTGGGAAAAGGGCAGGGGACAGAGATCCAGGTAACAGGAAAACGAATTTTAGCCAAATCCAAAATATTTCCTTTTTAACAGTGGCTGAAAACAAATCTTACAAAATAATTAGTTGTGAATTTTATGGTGAAAATGTATTTTGGTATTTTGTTATTTTCTTGTCTTCTCAAGCTTTATTTCTTTTTTAGAGTTAAAAGGAAAGTTTATTAGGAAAGGGGTAACGCTCCACAGAGTATGGTCTCCTCTCAGAGGCAGAGAATGAGAGGGATCTCGAACTTTTTTTTTTTTTTTTACAAATGAAACTCACGTTGCGCTGGTTACAAAATCCCTAAGATGCGTTGCTGTCTCTATCCTTTTTCTTTATTGTTACCTGAGCAGTAGCAGGAACAGGTAAGATGTCCCCTCGATTAGCTAATGGCTTCCAAACATGCCAAGATTTCAGCTAATTCAGCCAAGGCAGTGAAGTGTGAGCAGTCCCACAGATGGGGTGCAAAACACCACAAAGGCTCATTGCAACGTTACCTATTGCTGCATAACCACTGCGAGATGCGGTGTCCTAAAACAATATGCATGTATTATCGATCAACAGTATAACTGGGTGGTTCTATGAACCCCGGCTAGGCTTGGCAGAATTTGGCTGGCTCATCTACATCTTAAGTGGGCTGGTTGGTAGGCGGGGGGTGGCTGTCGAAAGTGGTTTTGCCCCCATATTGGGCAGTCGACTGTTTGTTGGATGGGTGGCGAGAAAACTGGGCTACCCGCCTCTTATCAGCCAACAGGTTAGTCGGGAGTTGTTCACATCTCAGCAGGATTCCAAGGGAGAGGAGGGAAATGAATCACATATGCCTTATTTTCTTGGCAGAAGCAAGTCCCCAAACCAGACTGGTCAGAGTGTCCTACAAAGCAGAGCAACTCCCTTGATGTGATCTACTGAAAGTCAGCCCCCAAACAGGAAGAAAAAAAAAATCCAGACCAAATTCAGGGGAAGGAAAATAGATCCCACCTCCTGATAAGAGAAGCTGGAAATTCACGTTTCAAAGGTTAGGGACAGGGACATGGTACGTACACATGTGTGTAATGACTCAGAAACATTCTTCAATCTGTCTTCTACGCCGTGGCTTCTTATGACCCACCAAATTAACAAAGAGTTTCAATGCTGTGACTGGTTAAGCTTTATGTGCCATAGAATATAAAAGATGAACTATCGTTTATCAAAAGAAAATCTTACTGGATTGTCCCTCCAAGAGCATTTTTGGTTTTCAGACAGTTTAATGTACTGCCTGAACATTTAAACCACCTTCATCCTCTGACACGAATAGGTGTGTTTCCATACAGCTCACAAATCATCTCGCCCCAAATTATTTTCTGGATAATCATGGACAACTAATAGAAGCCGACGACCTGAAATTGTCTCAAAAGTCACCTTTACCATAGTGAAGATTGAGCAGTAAATGGAACCTTCAGGCTGCTGTAATTTACCTTGTACCAAAGCAGATCTCCAAAATGACTTATTAAATCATTCCACTGAAGGCTGTACATCAGCGAGTAAAGTACAAATCAATACGAAAGCACAGTCGAGCACTTTACTACCTATGGTTTTTCGTGACCTGCTGGAAGGATGAAGATTGATGTTGCAAAGGAAATGCTAAAACATGAAGACGACTTACAAAGATGAACTGCCTATGACTGGCATTATTTTTAATTCATACTATGTTTGCTCTCACTAACCTGTGTTAACCTTTTTGTTTACATCATGACATCAGCATATACTTATTCCTTACGTCCTGCCATGCAGAATTTAGAAGTCAAAGAAATGTGACGATCTGTCAACTCCGTATTTGCTTACGAAGGAAACTATATGAAGGCACAGCACTGGATTTTCTCAGCCTCAAGTCAAGTATGAACTCAGTGGAGTAAGAAAGGAAGCTTGGCAGGCCTCGGGCAGTGACGCATGGAAGACGCCATGCCGG